GAAGTTATCCTGATTTTTGGGCGCATGCGCAGCAAGTGGCTCAAAATCACATTTAAGCCTGTGTTTTGGCCACCTAAATTTCATACATAAATATAATAGATTATAATAATTTATAATAACCAGTCTAAGTAGTCAAAATATAAAGGCTAATCTAATGAATTATAGTGAGAAACAGTAAAGAATATCAAAGAATGCGGTAAATGTCCAATTTGTTATTTGGGAGCGAAGAAGACTGTAAATGCGAAATTCTAATGCTGCTTGTGCTGGCCAAGTGCGACATCCGAAAATCATCATTGCAGAAGACAGACCGCTAAGTACTGGCGCATTCATTCACTGTGCCCCCGTGCAGCGTTTTTGCATAATCGCCTGCCCCGAGATTAGCGATGCTGTTTTTTGCTGTAAAAGCAACAGGACACTTACCCACTTGATCAATAAACGCGCGGTGTATTTATTCAAAATCATCGGTTATTCGGATTTTCGCAAAGGTAATAATTCGAACGGCTGTGGTGTTTTTAGGGGACTTCGGTTTTTTTTTTTTTTCAGGATACCTCTTTCGAAGACGTTAGTGAAGAAGAAATTGTGCTGTATGGTGAGAACAGGTGCGGTCCAGCGAAATCGAAGCTTGCAAATCGTAGCGATACACTAGCAGATGCTGAAGAATGCGATGAAGAGGTTGAAGAAAGTGATAGTGAGATCGACGAACTGGGAAAAGAGGTTGAGCAGGTACTATTTGATTAGCTTCCTTTTATGCAGTACGGTTTTTAGAAGCTATAGAAAAGTCGAGCGCGACTACTTTTCATCTAACGTTGCTGCTGTCTGCGCAAGCACTGCTTTTAATAGGTTTCTTGAAATCGCTCGCTGCAACTGAACTTCTCGAAAATGAGAAATGAAGTTATTATTTTAAGATTGAGAACGATGCAAATGGCTCGTGCAAAAGCGCATTATCATCGGTCGAAGAAATAGCGGGAGATAGGAACGAGAACATACCGCCACCGGATCCGCATACGAAGCTCGTTGCACCACAGTTCGTGGACGCATTTGATCGAGGATTAGCAAAAAGACAGAGCAGAGGAAAGTACCAGGTTTGCGTCTTCAGCCAAACACTTTCAGAGTTTTAGGAGAACGAGATGTTCGGGGATCATCAGTGGGCAG